TTTGCACGTGCGGATCAAACAGAATTTGGCTGCACGCGTGCTAAATACAACTTCTGGTATCGTTTCCAGGTGGTCTAGAAGTTGGTTTCGGTTTCGCTGCATAAACAAATTGATTGATCCGATTTGGGCGAGGAGTGGATGGACGTCAGCATCACACCTCAGCTTACGAGCCTTCTGTCCGTTTAGAGCTCAGCTCGCAGCTCTCTTCTGTGAGATGACTAATGCATAAGCGGGATCTCGATCTTGACGGGAACCCAGTCCCTACGCACAACGACGATCCATTTTGCTCGTCACTGCACGCCTCGCGGAAAAGTGTGGAACGTCATGTTTTGGCTTGCATGTGCTGCCCAGTAGTTATGGCACCCAACCGCGCAACAAAAATCTCACCCAACCACGAAACAAGTCGAGCACTGCAACATAAACGTAGCACACTGAGGCGTTCACTCGCAGGTAAACAACAAGACAGAAATGCTCGCCTGCTCCTTTGTGTTGTGTGACGTCAGAGCTCCCATGTTGCCACCGAAAACAGCGTTTACGCTAGAGTGCGATTGGAGCAGTATAAATTCGATTACTCATGTAGAGGGGCATATAAAATTCAGATATTGTACGTACGATGCGTCTCGAGGCAGTAACAATGATATTTAATTGTTTTCTCGAATACAAACTTCGACCGGACAATCCCTTTAAAAGAGATGCGTGCAAACACATACTTCCAGAAACAAAACAAAACCAGGAAACCCTGGCTCGCACAAACAAAACACACTCAAAGGTTCAGAAATCTCTCTGTTGCCTCGTTTAGAAATGTTGACCGGTTACTAATACAGTTGGCTGTGCTGTTTATTTTAATAGTTTCGATAAGGATTCTTTTAGGTGCATCTCCCTCTCGCCAACATCGTTGTCTTGTTCCACAGCGGCTTGCAATCGTCGCGTTCACCTACGTGTTTCGCAATCCCCGAATTTTGCGAGTTAGATGCGACTGCTCTCTTGTGCTCAGCATCATTAATACACCGCCTTTGTTTGGCCCACATACGTCCCTCCGCACTCAAACGGAATACTGTAAACGACTTCTCCCTCACACTCCATATCTCCTGCCCTGTGTTTTGTCGTTTACACTATTCCTTTTTTTTTTTTTTCAACGCTTTAAAGTCCGGGATAATTAGATCGTTAATTATTTTTGCGTAATTAACTTTTTCAATATTGTGTTTAAAGGGATACTTCAACGAAATCTGAAATATTACCGTCGTGCTCAAAAATAGGTTGAATATGATCCACAATATCCGTAAATGACAATCGCACGTTTGTATTTTGATCCTGGTGGCTGTATTTTTCGTTATAAACGGCCCACTCTGGCAAGCGCTCGGAGAAGGCCCAGCGGAGACCACGTGACATCCGACGCAATCGTGACGTAGGTTGTCTCGGGACGAGCAAAGCTACGGCGAGGCTGACGTCGAGAGGATTTCCTAGTCGTTCCAGCCACCGAAGTCCAGAAAGCTATTCTAATCTCGCCCCCAGCCCGCTGACCTTCCACCCTGCATGCACCTGCGAGATATTTCCGGACGACGGTGACCACGGCGAGTTCGTCCGTAACTCGCCGTCGCTGGAGCTGGTCGCCAGCGGGTCGCAGTCAAAATGAACAGCTTCTAACATCTCTTGATAACAATCACTCTCATCGCTGCTGCGATCAATGTCGAACACTTTGACAAGGTGAGCGATGCCGTAGACGTAATCGTCACGGACCGGATGCTCAAAACGCGGAAGGTAAACGAGGAAGCTGAAGCTCGAGACGCCAAGAGAGTCAAGTAAGTGAGTGCGTGCAAGGCGACACCGCGCGGGAGGCTGGCTACGTAGCCAGCCTTCAGCTCCGCCCGGTCGGCCCCTCCGAATGATCCGCACATAAATCGATTTATCCACGAAACTATCGCGCCATTTTCAATACAAAAATAGGAGGATTATAGGAACATACAATGGGTTTTAGCAGCATTGTTATCTCACATTTTTTTTTTTTTTTTTTCAGTTAGAAAATTAGTCAGCATTATCAAAAAACACAAAATCAACAAATTGCACAACGATAGAGGGCACACGCAGCATTTTACAGCTCCGTCGTGGCCGAGTTGCGCTCCGATGGCGAACCGAAACTTAAAAAAGCCGTCGAATTTGTGCGGTTTTTCAGAAAGCCGTAAGGTGCTGCGTGTGCCTTCTATCGTTCTGCAATTTGTTGATTTAGTGTTTTTCGATGATGCTGAGCAATTTTCTAATTGAAACCATGACCTTAAACACCCCCCCCCCCCCCCAATATTAAAATTACAATAAAAAAAAAGCAACGTATTGCAACCCTGCATATCAATGACTACTGACGAAGCGCAGTGCAGAAAATTATAAATTAAAAAAGGGGGGGGGGGTGCAACGATTTTAAGATTAAAATAATTTGCATCTCGTCATTTTTATGTTGTTATCGTGACCCGGAGGATACAGAAAACACCTCCTTCATAAAAAAATGTAGCGATTCCGCCGCATGATCGCAAAAGTTTAGCTTTTTCCCCCACCTGCAGCCGCAAGCGGCAGCCGAAGGAACTACGGCGAAAAGCTTACGTGACCTCGGTCGGCTCTAAGCTGCACCATAACGCCCGCTAATGACTGCAGAGAGAGGAAGAGGAAGCGTCCTCCGAGAGAGCACACGGGAACCTACACGGCACCCCGAATTACGTCACTAGAAGGGGGACCAGGTGTGACACTGAGGGCTGGAAGAGAGTTGAGGGATGCCAGAAATGGCAATATTTATCCTTTTTCTTTTTAAACACAACTAGGCAAGGAGGTTATAAGTACTAGGAGGGGGTACGTTGCAATATTGGTAAAGCTGTCATAAAAAGTTTAAACGACATTAGAGAGTTTTAGTAGATCGTGTTTTCAGGGCACGCTAATCGTAGCGGGAGCTCGCGCTACCACTTCAATGCATGCTCTGAAGCGCGCGCTCGTAGCGGTAGCGGGCCTTTGAAAACGATCTACTAAAACTCCCTATTGTGCCCAACGTGACCCCAGATCTCTCTGACAAATGGTGCCAGGTTGGACTACTTTGTTATGCATTTGGCGTCGAAATTTGGCGGTTGGCTATTTCAAACCCTAACGCGGAACAGCTTTGAGTGTAAGGCATGCCCCCACTGCACTGCCCTGCCCCCTGCCTCTCCCTCCCTTCCCCCGGTCCCAGAGCTTCTGCTAATATCAAATGTCTGATTTCCGTTAGTCTTGTTCTGTTGCAATTAAAAATAACGTCTTTGCTCCGGTTTTTGGTTCGGTTTGACACCCTGGTTAAGGGGTGTCCAAACAGGATACTACGAAACGCAAGACTCCGACAAATCGTGCGGCACTCCGCTTCCGGCGGTTTTATTATCGCGGGAGGAAACTTCCACCCTGTCAAACCTCCCCCCTCGCGATTTGACGGGGGGAAGTTTCCACCCCCGAAAGAAGAACAGCCGGAAGCGGAGCGCCGCACGATTTGTCGGAGTCTTGCGTTTTGTGGTATCCAGTTTGGACACCCCTTTAACAGGTACAGTGAAACCGGTTTAGAACGAACCGACCAACAGCGAATTATTGTCGATATCGAACTCGCGGTAAATTTAAAAAATGCATGTTAAACATACTTTTTATAACGAAAATATTGGCTACATCGAACTTTTCCCCCAGGGAAGGCTTCCAAAAGCGTGCAAACAATCGTCTTCTAGCCTGTCCCTTCCCCCCCAAACAAGGCAGGAAAGAAAAATTCCAAAAGCTCAAGTTGCAAACAAAATTGAGCGAAGATAAGCGATTCAGAAGGGGAGAATGCTAAAAAATACACTGCACTCACGCACAAAAAAAGCAAAAAGCTTTTCATCCTAAAACAGTTACCACGAAGAGAAGCGATTCAGAAGGGGAGGCAAGCTAAAAGAACTGCTTGCAACGAACACATTGTGGAAGTTCGTTGTAAATGCTTTTTGCTATATCGAATTACTTCCCATATCGAACTGATCGTAGTTTCCTGCTGTTCGTTATAAATAGGTTTGACTGTACACGCTAATCGCGCATGATTATAACAGCCGCTTCGTCGAGTTTCGCGGCGCGAGGAAAGGCACGTTGTCCGTCTAAAACCAGTCTTGGTTGCTTCACTGACGGCGCGCCACTTTCATCCTCGGCAGCGCAAGTGAGACAATCAAGCCATCAGACACCTTCAGTGCAATGATGGAGCTTCAAAAGCCACTTACCATGGCCTAACGAATTGCACCATTAGCCCATGGGTCCTAAATGAAAATCAACAGAGCTGACAAGAATCGAGCCCATTCCATTCCATTCCGAGCAAAGAGCTTCTAATTCCATTCCAGGATCGCGAAAGTGCGGAACGATTTCAGAATCATTTCAATTCCTGAGTGGCAACTAAGCAACTGATTCTGATCAGTACTCAAGATGTGCGTGAGCGCAGCACCACCAGTTGCTTACAGTGAAATTGTTTTAATATTACTTCACCGACATTGTGTTATATATTATTATCACCATGTGTTCGTTTCATTACGTTGCTTTAGTTTGAACTGTGTATTTCAGTGAGGATAGTTGGTTATACTTTGCCTTGAAATTGCCATCCTTCACCCAACAAATGTTTCGAAATATCCACTCTATATATAACTGATATTAAGTTCCGCATCCCATCAAATAAACACGAAGGAGGAATTATTGCCCATTATATTTGTTTGAGCATTTTTTACCCCACAAACACTTTTCCCGAAAGCAAAGTTGGAGATAGTCCGCGCTCCCCTTTTGCTCCATGCCCCGTGCAAAACCGAATCCGTGAGCAGAGGAGTACATGCAAGGGATTTTAGAGAATTAATTTGCCATCACTCTACCTAATGTCTGCCATGGTCAATAACATTGTCCCAGTAAAATCATTTATTTGCAGTCTTAAAAAAAAAAAAAAAGAGTCTGCCTCACAAATAAAAATTTGTGTATTCCACTAGATAGCAACACAACAAACCAAACTCTGACCTAAGTTCAGTGGTACACACTGAGAAAATACATTTTATTCTTGCAACCAACATAGTATCATTTATTCGACACCAGGTACAAAATTGAATAACAGCCTAGTTATAAGACCCAGACGTTCTGCGGTATGGCTTCCAAAATGAACCTGTGAAAGTATATAGAATATTGAACACAGACATACAAAAAACAGGCAACTCCATTATCACTTTAAGTCGGAGCACTAGCCACAGCAATAAAAATTACCACAGGCATAAAGAATATAAGAATCATCAATGAAGAAAAAAAAATTGAAGAAAAACAAAACAAAAATTAGGCAACAGAACACATAAAACAACAAACGATAGAAAGCGTTGCACGTTACCACAAGGCACTTCCAGGAGTAACTACAGAACCGCGCCAAACACCATTCCGCCACGTCCTTCCCACTCCCCAAGCCAATCAAGTCACAGCGGGAGCAGAGATGCAGGCTCTCATTGGCCGCTCGCGCTGGGTGCTTCCACAAGTTCGGCGTTGGTGCAGACACCTGGGACAATACAGTCGTCCAGGCTCTTCTTGCGGTGTGTGGTACTCGGTGGTGGTGACGGTGTCAGTCTGCCCACGGCACCGTTGGTGGTTGGCGTATCACCCGAGCCTCCGACCTCAGCTGCCGGTGTGTCTGCGCCTGCGGCACAAACTTTGTCGACGACCTCCCGCACTTCGGCGGCCTCTTCCTTGTCTTCCGCGCCATCTGCTTTGTCTCCGGAAACCTCAGGAATCCTTGCGTCGTTCTGTTTGACCGCAGACACCTCTGGACTTGCGTCCTCGGTGTCGTCCGCTGGTTCTTTTGGGGGCTTGATGTCTACTTCAGCTTCTTTGGCAACGACTTCAACTTGTGGTTCGTCCAGCACTTTTTCCAACTCTCCCTGTTCCTTAATTTCGGCTGTTTGGACGTCTTCTTGAGAATTCTCGGTGGCCTTGTCTTCTGTTGGCTTCTGGTCCTTCACCGCCTCGTCCGCTGCGGCAGAAGATTCGGACTCCAACTGTTCTTGAGAATTCTCGGCGACCTCGTGTTCCGTTGGCTTCTGGTCCTTCACCGCTTCGTCTGCTGTGGCAGAAGACTCGGACTCCAACTGCTCGTCCTCGACGTTCGGAAGATCCACCATGCCCTTTTCCCTTGCCACCACACAAGTGACCGGTTCTGCAGCTGCATGTACATTCGGTTCCGCAGACGCATCTGTGTCCGTGCCTACACATGTATCCGTCTCCGGTTCTGGAACTGTCTTCAGATCAGTTTCTGCCGCACAAGATCCATCCAGCTCTTCAGCAGTGGCCACCAGAACTTGCGGTTCGTCTGAGGCTACCTCACCATCAGACTCCACTCCGTCATCCTTCGAGTCCTCGCGTGCTTCCGGCAGCGGAACGACATCAGCCTCTACATCTTCAACTTCGATGCTGCTCAGCAGTTCTTCGGGCTTACTCAACGGCGGGGCAACGTCCTTCGGAGTCGAGGTCTCAAAATTCTCCATAGACTCTGCCTCTTCGCCGTCCTCTCGAATACTGCTAGGCAGCTCTTCTGTCTCGCTCAGACGTGTGGCGTCGTCGCTAGGTGAGGAGGTCTCCAAGTTCTCCGTGGGCTCCTTCACGACTGGGCTCTCTTCGGCGGTCACTTCCAGGGTGGAGTCGCCGGTGGCACGATTGCCGAGGACGTCGATGCCCATGTCAAGCAAGCGGACCACGTGCCGACCGTCACGTTCCCCAAGGAACTCGGCGAGCAGCACACATGACTCGTCGTCCACCAGCGCCCGAAACTTATCCGTCGCCTCCGTGACGCAGTCCGCCTCCGCGATATCCAACGTGCAGCGTATTGCAAGCGCCGGAACCTCGAACAATGCCTCCACCGGCGAGAGGATTTCCCTGAGCTCTACGGTCTCGGAGTTGCCATAGTCAACGTAGAAGACCCGCGCTCCCGCAGCGTCCACGCTTGTCACGGTCGCCCGACAGTAAACCCCGTCGTCGTAATGCGCGACGCAAGGCGCACCTTCGCTCGCCTCAAAGACCTTCCCGTCGCCGGACACACCCTGTAGGGCGGTCGCGACGAACTCCAGCTCGGTGCGACGGTCCTTCAGCTGGACATAGAAATCGGTGGGACCCTCGGAGTGACAGATCTCGACGTGAAGTTTCTGGTTCAGCGGAACCGAAATGGAGCCGTATGTTTTCTTCGGTGCGTCCGCCTGTCCGATTGACTCCGCCCCTTCAGACTTCTCGACTACGGCGGGCTCCTCTGGCACTTTCACCCCCAGCAGCTCTGCAATGTCGTTGCCGTCCGCGTCGACAAGCCTCACCGTCGCTGGCGGGCCCTCCTCCAGCACCTCCACCCGTAGCGTCGCATCCTCAGTTGCCTCCTTGAATTTGTCCAGGAGGTCCCCATCCAATGCGGAGACGCCGCTCAGCCGACACTCAAAGCAGAATGGCTCCGGCGCCGCCTCCGCGTCTGTGAGCGCAACCACAGAGTCCACCGTCTCCGCATTGCCGTAGTCAATAAACCGCGCGCTCAGCGTCCCCTCCTCGCCGATCCCCTCGATTCGGGCGCGATACCACCGCTCGTCCGCCGCGTAGAGCGCCGCGCACAGGTGCCCGGGGGCGGGGCCCTCCAGCGGGGCTGCCTCGCCTGCACCCAGCCTCTCCTGCAGGCTCTCCGACAACTCCGTGAGCGTGTCGTCCCGCTCTGTCGTGATCACGTAGAACGAGTCGAGCCGGTCCACATGGCTGACGTAGCCTTCCACAACCTTTGCGGCGGGCGACACGCAAAGGGCGGCGTCTTCCGAAGGTGTGTCTTCAGCGGCATCCTCGCTTCCCGCGAGCTTGGCCTTCACAAGCGCACCCACGTCCTGGCCTCCCTTGGACATCCGGACCGTCACTTCAGGACCCCACGTGACGACTTCGAGTTCAAGCTCCGCGTCGAGGACGAGCTCTTGGAACTCCTTGACAGCCGCCGGGTTCGTGCCGATCTCTCGGCCGCCGTCCAGCTTGCACTTGTAGCAGAACGGGGGCACGTCCAGGAACTCGGGGCCAATCTCGCGCACTTCCTCCACCTCGTCGGCGTTGCCGTAATCCACGAACTGGACACGCGAGTCGCTCAGCACCTTGGCGCGATACCAAAGGTTGTCCTGTAAAGCAGATGACAGTGAACAAACTGAAGGCACGTTAACACAGTACGTGGGAATCCGTGACCACGAAAAAACCTCGCTTGAGAGAACCGGACTTCAATGAACACGCCAAACAACAAACGCGTTAACCATCCTTTGCCGCAGCATAGCCTCAATATACACCAGTCTGGTGCTCGTCGCTGCCGTGAAGAATGCAGAGTTCTGGGCCGTCGACGGAAGCACAGCACCTCGTATTTTGCGGAGCTTGAACATCCCACGGCCAAGTGGACAAAAACGGCAGCTTGCGAAAGGAGCTTTTGGAAATGGTCTACAGGCCTCGTTTTCGCTCAACATCCTCCCGTCATGAAATATGGCAGACGCCGGCGCTGGTTCACTTCTGGCACATGTTCTAAATGTGCAGGTGGTGCTCCCAACCTAAAGAAAGCATGCCGACGCCGTGATCGTCTATGCTGGCCAAATTGCATTTTGCACCGAAACTGTCGCAAACAAAGTCGGGAAAGGCTCCAGGCACCGAAATGACTGCGCCCACAAGCTGCAGGCACACAAACACGTGTTTCTATAATAACGACAGACTGAAAACAAGAGGACAAAAGGTTCCCGAGGTGCTGGAGCGTTGCAAATGGTAAAAAGCTCGCGCTGGAGGCGGGACGATTGAAACACTTACCTGTCCTTTTCATTACGTCGGAAACACCTCGTAGAGGCACCGGCATGAAAATAGCTCTTACACACCTTACAGATTTTAACTAAACGGCGAGTTTCTTTCGGATCTATGCACAGCCTTTTTAAAATTATTGTCTGTAGCACCGTCCAATGTAATTTACTGTTGTCGTGAAAGAATGATGCGCGAAGGAAGTCTAATTTGGGACTAATTTCGACCACCCGCGGATCCTTTGACGCGCAACAGAAATCTTGGTTACATGGCGCCTTTTTAATAATGAGCCTCTGTCAGATTGCAGCACCTTGGCGGTATTCAAACCCACATCCTGAAAATACAAAAAACCAACCCCGTCTAAAAAAAAAAAAAGTGTGTCAAGGTTAGTTGATAGTGGTGCCACTGCATTTGTTGCCAAACAAACAAAGAAGCAGACAGTGGCTCCAGTTCAAAGTGGGAACTTTATGGCAGAGCCCGTGCCCCGAAATGAGCCACTCACCTGCGAGTAGAGGGCGACGCAAGGAAGCTTAGGCACCAGCTGGACCCTGGGGTCCTGGCCCGTGGCGTAGCGCTCCTGCAGGCGTGCCGACAGCTCCTCCAGGGCCTGCTCCTGATCCATGCGCATGGCGTAGAAGCAGCACAAGTCATCCACATGCATCACGTACACCGCCATCTTGCCGGAGATCTTGGACAGCGGCGGGTAGCAGGGCAGGATCACATGGCCGCTCTGACCTGCAGCGGCGGCAGCGACGGAGACGGACACTTTCGGAGAGTCGCTTACATTTACCATTTTCAAAATTCAGTGCCATCCAGTGGCTGAAAAAGCAGTTCTGTTTTTGACAAATTAACAGCAGTCGTGAAACTGTACTTTATTTATTTATTTTAACAGACTGCCAGCCGTGAGGACAAGGCAGGTTGATATGCCTTTTAGAATTACAGTCACTTACCGTATTTACTTGAATCTAACGCGCCCTTGATTGTAACGTGCACCCATTTATTAAAATCCGGAAAAAAAAAAAAAAAAAAAAAAAGCGATGAATTTGATTGTTACGTGCACCAGATTCTGTAGCTCGGATTCAGAAATGAAACTATTTCTTACTTGGAACAATGAAGGTTTATTTCAAATGCTTCAATCTTGCAATAAAATGAACGGTGCTGTTTCTCGTTGGCAAGGTCGTCATCACGACGCCGGTCCAGGGCAGCGCCCGTGGGGCGCTATGCATCACTCGTCATCGCTGTCGGACGACTCCTTATCGCTGACAACGGTCCAAAGCATTTCATCTTCGGTGCCGTCCATAGCGTTAGAAATTCCGCAGTTCTTGAAGGCCTTGATAACCATGGCAGACGGGATCATGCACCACACATCTTTCGGCCATCCGGCGAAGTCCTGCAGCGAGGCACGCTTCATCCTATTGCTGGGCGTGAATTTGTGGCAGCCATCAACAAGCCACTCAGTGTAGAGCACCCGAATCCAGTCTTTCACCGGCCTGTTAAAAGAAACATCCAGCGGCTGCAACTGCGATGCCATGCAGCCGGGTATCACGACAAGGTCGGTGTGGCACGCGCTAAGCTTGCTCTTGATGTGCTCGTCGAGGTGGCACCTGAACGCGTCTAGAACAAGCATCGCGCGCAGGCCTAAACTTGCTCTGGGTCTCCTCTGCCACACGTGGTCAATCCAATCTGCAACCAAGTCCGTGGTCATCCACCCCTTCTCATTTGCCTGCACGATCATTCCGTTGGGGAACAGGATTCCTTTTGGAAGCATCTTGCGTTTGAAGATAAATAGGGGGGCAGTTTGTGCCCGTCCGCAGTGCAGCAAAGCATTGCAGTGACTCTAGTCTTTTTGTGACCGGAAGATAAGACGCAAACTTGCTTTGCTCCCTTCTTTTCCATGGTTGTGGTGGCAGGCATATCGAAGTATAGTGGCGTGCGGTCGGCATTTTTGATTTGCCTGAGCTGGTAGTGGTTCTCGCGGCGCAAACTCAAAACGTACCGCTGAAAAGCGTTCAGCTTTTCTTCAAACTCTGCAGGCAATTTCTGGCATATGCCTGTCCGTCGTCGAAGTGAAAAGCATTTTCTTTTCATGAAGTTTGTCACGCAGCCCCTGCTGGCTTTGAAGTCTCTCCGCGTTAGCCTTTGTTGTAACGCTAACTGCATTCGCCTGAATTTTGAGCAGCTGTTGTCACCGGTCTCTCTGCCGCTCGATGCTGTTATACATATTCTACAAGTTGGTCTTCTGTTTCGGGGAATCGGCCCTTCTTCAGTCCACTGAATCCCTTCCGCACTGACTTGCTGGTCAAAATCCTTTCTTTCTGCTTGCGCCAGTCCCGCACGCAAGTTTCTGGAACACTAAACGCACATGATGTGGCCCGATTTCCATCGCTCCCTGCACACAATATCACTTCTTTTGAATCCAGCATCATAGAGAATGCGGCGTGTTTTTGCAGTGGCAACTTCCATGCTGACACGAACACAAGGAACACATGACTACGCGCTGGCTACGCTCTAAGCCTTTCAGCTTCTCAGCCAAGGAGAATAGAAGGGCAGGGGAGGGCATGACGTCAGCCGCGTAGCCTCCACAAGCCATGCTCCCTTGACGCCTCGCCTCTCTCATTTTCCTCCTTACTCTCCTTACTTATTTATTTATTTATTTTACCCTCAGGGCGTGAGCATTACAGAGGGGGAAGTGGTTGCATGAGATTAAAAAAAAAAAAAAAGAACAGACACAGATACACAGGAAATACAATCAGTGTAGATTAGAAAAAAATACTTTCCAAGGCTTTTTTAAGGGGGGATACGGCCACGAAATTCCATTCTTTTCCGAAAAAATGCATTTTCAAAAAATATTATATTTGGGTTCACTATGTTCTGAAGCATAGTTTCAGAGAGTTTTATTTATAAATGCGCATTATTTATTTCGCAAAAAATTATTTTCGGCAAGCTCGCGGCTGCGCGCGGCGACCCGCCGAGCAAGCAGACGGCGAAGTTCGGCATTTTCAAATTAGGCCTACTCCGCGCTCGTTCGACGCAGCCGAGATATCTTACCCTCGTTGGAAGCGCCGTTTCTTCTAGTTTCTGCCCATAGAAGCTTGCTACGTTTGAGGCTATCTGTGTCCCGGGAGAACCCCGTACATACAAGCAGAAAAAACGTGAGAACTATGATACCAGCAATCCCATTGGTTGTGACCCGAAACAGGGCTCGCGATTGGCCGCCTCACGCGCTATCGGCAGCTTCTTTCGCTTCTGATCGTGTCGCTAGTTTGCCGCTGTTTAGATTCGTTTTCCCTCTTTGTTCCCGGTAGTTTTTCTGCCGAGAAATGCCTGCTTCCAAAGTTAGCACTCGCAGTAGCTTTGGCCGGCGTTCTCAACGGCGGAAACAAAGGACCGGCGGAGACGGGGACCCGTCTCCGCCACCGTCGTCACAATCTCCAAGCTCAACTGGTGCTTGGCGGACATCGGAGCGTACAGCTTCATCTCCGAATCGGATGTGCTGACCACGTTCGAGAGGAAGCTCAGCCTGCGCGATTTCGACGCGGGGATTACGGACGACCCGGAGCTGACAGACGCTCCCGTTGAAAAGCCCCTGAACGGCTCCTCAATGTGTCCGCCATGCAGACTCTTGTTGCGATTTTACTCTGCCTCAAGTGCCACGGAAAACTACTGAGCTTGCAAGAAGTTGACATCAACCTTTGGTTTGTTGTTAGCTGCTCGACTTGCGGAGACATCGTCGCGACACCGCACTCACCATCAATCGGCAAGTTTCGAGAGAATGAACTCGCGGTACGTCTAGGCGTCGTTGGAAGAGATTGTGGCATCAGTTTCACAAAGCTCACGAATCTCTTCAGGGGCCTCAACGCACTGCCCTCCTCATGCTCATGTAGTTGAAGGTGCCACCAATGACTCGGGTAAATTTCCAGTTTCTGGCATCGTCCGAAAAAAAAAAAAAAAAAAAAAAAAAAAAAAAAAAAAAAAAGTTAAAACTTCAAACTCATTTTTCTCAGTTTCACTTTTTGGCAGGAATTCTTGTTTTAGGAAAGCTATCATTTGACATTCTGAATACAGAGGGACATCATTCAAGGTTTTCTGGGACAAATTTTCTGGGGAACAAGATAGACTACTTCACAGTTCAAAAAATCTACTCCTTCATGAAAAAAAAAAAATTTTCTTTGAAACAAAAATTTTACATTTTCTTTTTAAATTTTGGGATGTTCTTATTTTTGTTATAATTGAATATTTTGCAATTTATTTTTTTATCTAGGTTGCACTGTGGGTATTGTTCTTCATATTAAAGCAAAAAGTTTGCCACCAGCTAATTTTATTTTTCTACGATAGACTTCCTAATGAAGTGTCTTTTCTCTGAAGTGCGAGAACCGTAGCATGCTGTAAAGTTGACCAATAATGCTAAAACTTTGCAGATTATCCTTCCTCATAGTGCTGAAATAACCCTCAAAATTTGAACCAAACTGGGTGAAGGGTTCAAAAGTTGACCCTCCCAGGCCATATCCCCCCCTTAAAAAGGACGTGATCTATGATCGAGACTACGGGTGCAGCCAGGTGGTTCCAGTCAAAGGATGTAGACGGTATGAAGAAATGGTGAAAGACGTTGGTGCGAGCATATGGGATGCCAACTTTGTGTTGATGGTCAAGTCTAGGTGAAACGTAAAGAGGAGGTATAATTAGCTTATTACGCAGCGTCTGATTAGTGAAGTAAATTTTCTGAAACAAACTTAGACGGGCTATTTTTCTACGAGTTGATAATTCAGGAAGAGAAAGATTAGACTTCATAGTGCTTACGCTGGCTGTCCGATGGTAATTCGAAAATATAAATCTAACAGAACGATTTTGGACGGCTTTAATCAGATCAATTAGTATAGACTGACCAGGGTCCCAAACAGAAGATACATATTCCAGCTTTGATCATACACGGGTTTTATAAAGAATTAACTTCAAAGACTGGGGTGCTAAAAAAAAAATTCCTTTTAAGAAAACCTAGCATGCGATTAGAGTTGTTATTGATGTAGGTAATGTGAGTCCTCCATGATAAATCAGATGCAATATGAACCCCTAAATACTTATAGGCCGTAACTAATTCAAGGGGATGGTTATTTAGCGTATAATGGGGCTGAGATGAAGTATGAGACACTCTTATACCCTTACATTTGCTAGAGTTTAGTACCATAGACCACGAGTCGCACCAGCTGGAAACAGAGTTAATATCGTTTTGTAGTAGGTTAGAATCAGAATCATGAGTAATTTCTCTATAAATAACGCAGTCATCAGCAAATAAAGACATTTTTGAGGATACATGAGAGGGTAGATCGTTAATGTATATAAGGAATAATAACGGACCAAGCACAGAACCTTGAGGAACACCTGATGTTACTGATACCATAGTAGAGCTTGTGTTGTTCACGTTGACAAATTGTTTACGGTTCGTTAGAAATGAATGTATCCACGTGAGTACCGCCGGATCAATATTTAGTTTACTAAGCTTGGACAAGAGTAAGGTATGGGGCACTTTATCAAAGGCTTTAGAGAAGTCTAGAAATACGCAATCTACTTTGGAGCAAACGTCAACGATAGAATGAAGGTCGTGCGTGAATGATACAAGTTGTGTTTCGCATGAGAATGTCTTTCGAAAGCCGTGTTGAAAGCGACAGAAAAACTTATTTGATTCTAGAAAATTGACTACGTTAGAATAAATGATATGCTCTAAAATTTTGCTTGGGACA